TATAACCTCGTTATTTTGACAATTTGGGGGTCTAGTTCACACCAAACGACTCAATATTTTTGTAGGCCACCTTTTTTCCCAGCTCTGGAAGTTATGAGACGATTCAAGTGGAAAGCAAATGGGTATTTACGAGTTTTTAGTTCCTAATTAAATAAAAAAAGTTTGCCGACCTCCAGATTGAAAACTATTTACGAAGTTTCAGCCGGATGTTAATAATTTGCTAAAGCGTTGTCATATGACTGTCATACATCCTGTATAGAAACTACATAAATTACATAATTTCTACATGTATGATTATAATTCATGTAATCTAATTTATTCATGTATTAATCCTTAATTTCCTTCATATTACCTTTCCATATAGAACCATTATTTTATCTGTCTGTGCTCTTTTCTTTTACTTTTAAGATGTTATTATAATCTTAAGGAAGAATTATGTAATTGGAAATTAAATTTTATTTTATTTATTTTCAAGCAGAGCTTCAATATTTGACTACGCCAGGGGTCTACAAACAACATCTCGCAAAAATTTCTTTGTTTACATGGTGAAATTTTTATAACTATTTTAAACATAAAAAATTTAGTAAATCACTCCAACAAACAGCAGGTTTCTACATTTATTGCGTGACTTTTTTCTCTTAGAAAGCTAATTTCTCAACGAACTCAACAAAAGGGTTTTAGTACCATGGACTAAGACATTTTATGAATAAATAAAATAACTCAGTAAGATAACAGATTTGATTTTTAATTGTATATATTAAATGATGCGTTCAGCATGGCATCCAGAGTAATCAAACTTGTTTGAATAAAAGATGGAAACGAATTCGACACCACGCAACAAGTTGCAATCAACAGGTTGGTATGTGCCCCCATCAACAATTCTCATCACCGGCTCACTGGCACCAACAAATCCTAGTCATTTATCGGGTTATTTATTGAGTTTCTACATTTCATTTTATTTGATGTTGTAGTAGAATTATATTAATCATACAGAGTGAATGCTCTCAATAAGCAATGTATTTTTTAACATCTTTAAATTAACAACGAAAATAATATTAACTCATGTAAAATAAATGACGATAAACATTGTTATGTCATAAATAATTACAAAATTTCTTTAATAAGATAAATTATTATATATCATGCACAGGCATTTTTGATGTTAATTATAATTGTTTCCAAAATATAGAAATCGTCCAGAAGATAAATAAAAACCCGAAACATTTACGATATGATACAATAAAAAATTTATATTTAAAAACGGACGATATTTAGGTACGAATATATCAATAATTATTTATTTTTATTGTCTTCAAAATGTACATATTCCCTTTTAATGTTAAAAATGGTAAGTTGGATGGTGGATGAGAGATCTCCTTTCCTGATTTTAGGATGTAGACAGACCAGGGAAGAGGTGGTGCTGGGTTCCATTCTTCGTCATGCCTATCATGCCATTTTCTACCTGACCACAAATCTGCTAATTGTCACTACCATGACAGGAGCTGATGAAAAATTGAAGATAAAAAAAATATGTACGTATTATTTTTATTATTAATATTATCACGGCGCTACAACTCTTAGAGGAGTCTTGGCCTCCTCCACCATCTTCCTCCAGTCATCTCTGTTGTGTGCGGCCGTCATCCAGCTCCTGATTCCCAGAACATCCCCTGAATCTCTTGCCACACCGTCTGACCTTCTTCGTTTTGGTAACCCTCTTCTTCTTGTACCGTAGAGAGGTTCTGTCAGGATCATCCTAGGGATTGCTTCATTCCCGCCACATGACCAGCTCATCTCAATCTTCCAAGCTTCATCCTCAGAACGACATCTAGATCATCAAAAGTTGAGCAAATTTCGGCATTTGTCCGTCTTCTCCAATTCCCACCAATCTATACTGCTTCAAATATTCTTCGAAGAATTTTCCTCTCAAAGATGAGGAGGTCTTGCTCAATTTTTTTAGTCGTCGTCCATGTTTCTGAGGCATAGAGCAGGACTGGGCGGATTAGTGTTTAATAGAGATCTAGCTTGTTATGCCGGGATAAAAGGCGAGAGGTGAATTATATTTAGAACCAACTTATGTACATAAATATATGTATTATTTTTAGGATTTCTTAAAAAAATAATTAAATTTTTTTTGCATTTAACTTGTGAGGAGGGAGACAGCCCCATAGCATAGGTACATTTCTAGAACGTTTTTAGCAAAAAATTAAAAATTGAAAAAATATTTTTGATTCCGTTGTTTGTAAATACATAGTGCTGTATATTATTATCTCTGAATATACATAAAAATTTAAATAATATGAATATTTATATCGTGGTAAAATACTAACGTACCTACTTCTTGACGCAGCCATGATCGAACTTTCCTATTTTCTTAATCGATTTGAGTTTACATATTCATGTCGATTATTTGTTTATTCAATTGTTTTTTTTTAATTCAAATTATTGGGGAAGAGGAGGCGAAACGATGGCTTTAGGTGACAGATTCATACGTGCTGGAGGATTTCGTGTGAATGCTGCCATTGCAAGGATACAAAGCGAATACAGAGTACACAACTAAAGGATACAGCGAAAGAGGATAGCTTAGATTTCCAGCGAATGGAAAAGTGATTTATTGGCGCGATTCTACTCCCAACCATGCAATGCCGACAGGACTCATCTACTGCTCTGATTGAAACGTTTGGTTGACAATTAATAGATCATTACTCACTGGCGACACGCAGTTGACGTCGCCATTTCTTGTTTGGACAGGTGGCAGAATGTTTCGTGTTTTCGTGTCCGAATAGGTACTACGTACCAGGCTTCGTGCATCAGGTCTTACTCTAGATACCGTCCGATTTATATAAAAATTATATTGAAAATTGCGATACTTCAAGATAATACATTCACACAAAACTTATTATATGTTTAGAGCTAATGAACTACACGCATTAAAAAAAAAAAACCATAAAGAAAAAAGAACAAGAGATATAAAATAAAAAAGTTTAAGAAGATTTTTCTATTTATTACACATAAAAGGGTTAAATCTATATATTCTTCATATGATTTGGAAGACCAGTAATTCAGCTTTCCAACGGTTATAGTAACGTTGAACTTTAAAGAAAACCCTAATGAGTTATAAATGTTATTGTAAACGGTCGGGAATAAAAAAGTATAAAAATATAAATTTGTTTATTTCTATAAAACTTTGTACTTAATATTTTGAAAAGGCAATAAAAACAAAACGCCTAAGTTTCTTTTTCATAACAAAAAATCGTGAGACATACTTTACAGGTAGCGTTTTTTTGGAGTTTGTAATTAATTGTAAAAACAATCGGCAATATTTTTTTCTTATTCTGTCTAAAAAAAAAAATCTAACGGAATACAATGATTTGGAAATCCGCCCAATGCAAAAAAAAAAAAAAATATTTTTGAAATTATCTAATTTTATTTATTCATTTTTTTCTAGGCTCTTAAGGCTGTTTGCTACGAATGCCGAAAAATGTGCCTCATAACTTGTTATAAAATCGCAAAAATAAATTTGATTGAAATCGATGACCCACTGTCTGTGAGATACACCTGTAAGTAATACTTAACAAAAATAAATCATTAAGTAGATGTACTTTTCGTTCGTAAAATGAAAGCTGAGGCAGAGGGATAGCTCTGTAGTAGGGTACTAAGCTTCCAATGCTAGATTCCCAGGTTCGAATCTCGGCTCATGGCAGAAAATATGTTTATTCATGAGACCCTCCTCGGGCACACCTGGCCTAAGTATTTGTTTATTTTCTTACGGGGTGTATCAATTTCACTGTGAGTCACTGTACCTATGCACTTCCAAAAATGGTCTATACATTTCAATTATCTAACCAGCTCATCAATATTTTAACAAAGTCAGCTGGAGGTGACGTTAGAAATCATAATTCCTACTTGACGATTTGTCTCGTTTATGAAAGACTTGACATAAATGAAAAGCAATGAATCAGGAAGTGGAATATTATATACTCTTTATCCTTGAACCGAGGCGTTCCTCTTATAAAGGTTTTTTACCTTTCTTTTTTTTTATAAGGCTTCAACCACTAGGGTCATTATCGCCTTATTCTCATCGAGAACTAAATTGTATTCTCAAGTCCAGAATATTTCAGAAAAAAAACAGTTATCGTTGAGGGAGATGGGAGTTTATGTTCTGGCGGAGAGAAATCCCCCTCAACTAATGACGAAGGAAAAATATCCGTACTACAAGGCGTATACGGATGTATACATCGTATACGGGTGGAAGGACCAACGAGTTCCTTCAACCCACTTTTCATTGGGAAGAAGAGATGAACTTGCACCCGGAAGACCGGTCAGAGAGGGTGGAAGAGGACGCTGGCTAAAAAGAAGAAAGAGCAGGCCGTGTGCACAGCTGAAAACTAAAAAAAAAGAAATGTAATTGGTCTGAATGCAGCAGTGAGTTGTAACGCATGCGCTGCTACTCACTGCTGCATAACACCGGTATTGCCTTACCGACAGGGTAGGGGTTTTTTTTTATAATTTAAGGCTTCAACCACTTGAGTCATTATTGCCTTATTTTCACTGAGAATTAGATGTTATTTTCAAGCTTAGAACGTTTCTTAAAAGAAAACAGTTTATCAACTTCATTCGTATTGTCCTGTATAATAGGGTAGATCGTTCGTCAAGTTACAAGAGAGTCTAAATCTTTCGTAAGTTCTGCATTCTATTAAGATGTGTTTCACTGTCAGAGGAGTCCCACAGGTTTGTCATGTTGACGAAGAATCACGGGCCAGGAGGTATCCATGAGTAAGGCGCGTAAGAATTACTTCCTCTCTGCGGTTAAATCTATTTGATGATGCCTAAGAGGAAACGTCACCCTTAACCTCCCTTAATTTATTTTCGGTTACATTCGACCATATCTGTTCCCATTTTGTCCTCATTCTCCGTTTGATGACAGTTATAAAATCCTCTACTTTAATAAAGGAACTATAAATTTAAAGTACTCCGTAGTATACACCTGCTGGTACACTTACCTTGTGAGGTACGTCGGTGTCCGGGCTGGGCAGTGGGGCCAGGAGCCCCGGGTCGGGGGTGTAGCCCCTGTACCCCGTGGGGCTGGGCTCCCTCTTCACCGGGTCGGCCGCGCGGAGGCCCGCTTCCTCCGTCTCGAACACGTCGTCGGACATGCTGTCATCCGTTATAATTTTCTGTAAACAAATAATATTAATTAGCTAAAAAATAATTATCTCAATAGAATAAACATCATATAGTAAATTAACTATATCATTAATATAAATAGTCCAATATATGTTCCTCTACCAAATCATCAACAACCATGGTCCTTCTTACGCCTACAACCTTCTCCAGTTCAAATCCCTGTCCATAAGATCTCAACCTTCTAACCTTTACATGCCTTCTCACAAATCTGCCTCATTCCAAAACTCCTTTATAGCTCGCTCTGTCAATTTCTGGAATTCCCTCCCTATCAAAATTCCATCCATTTCCACATTCAAAACCCTCCTATTCCAATCCCTATTCCAAAAACAGTCAGATAGTTGCTAACCATTCAACAACATACATTTATTTCATGCCATTCATTATCAAATATCAATGCTAAATGATAATGTATACATATATATTAATCAGGCACTTTATAGATTCAGCTTTCTGTTTTCTCAACAGAAACACAAAGCTGATTTTGATAAAAAATTTGATATATTTCTATTCTTTAATTCTTTATTGTTTTTTTAAAAGTGTATACTGGTCTATCAGTACAAATAGCTTTAAGTGTCTTGTCATAGTGTTAATTGTTTCGTATACAGTTTCGTATATAGAATGTTTACCTTATATTTTCTTTACATAATTTTTTTTTCGATTGATTTTATTTTGGCCAGATGTAATATTTTAATTTTGTTATTCTCAAGGGACTGGGTCCCAGAATAAAGTTATTTTCTATCTATCTATCTATCTATATTGAAAAATAATAGGGCCGATATCAAGAAAATTCATAGTTGGCTGTAAATATGGGAATTAGTTCCTTATCGAATGTAGAATAAACCATGAAAAGTATTCTAAAATTCCATCCAAAATGGAGGGTCAAAGATGGCCATCTAGAACTTTATGTTTTTCCTCACATCTCCGTCAAAAACCATCGTTCTTGAATTCCGAAAGTACTAACATAATATGGAAGGATGCTTGTTTCAAATTCCATCGAAGTGCACCAGATAAAAAAATGATGACCGAGCTGTAAATTGATCTATTTGTCGTCAATAAAACGAAATTTTCTTGATTTCTCTAGTTCTGTCACTCCTCATAACTTTGTAACTACTGACACGGGCGTATCTACAGGGGGAAGGGATTTTCGTACTAGTCCCTCCCTCCCTAAAAAACGGTAAAATATAAGCATGTTTTATATAAATAAATATTAAAAACTATCTCTTAAAGTATTATTGTTCGTGTAATTACATTTAATCGGACTTCAAGAATCACTTAAACACCATTTCATATAGGAAATTAATTTCTTTCGTTCTTTTTTCAAGTCAATTATTGTTGTATATATGAAAAAATCTTTCGGGCTGAAGCCCTCCTTCCCAAAATTAAATCCTGGATCTGCTAGTTATTACTGACAAATGAGAAATAACATTTCTCATATTTTTTGTAGCGCTTAGTAAGAGAAATATGCAAAAACATTTTTTTTTTTTAATATTTGCTGAAAAATAGTGGAGATATATTACTTTTTAATAAAAAATTCTCGATCTTAAAGCTGAATTCCATCGCGGACTATTCGAATTGGATAGCTAGTTATAGACTAGGAGCTACGCACCGTTTCATTTAACTGGAGGACTTACAGTTTGTAACCATTTTTAATTGTAGATAAATCTGATCTGAGCTCACAACTTCGGTCGGTAGATGGAAAGCCGTTGCTTTATATACGGAAATTTAAACCTATAAAACCATTATCTTACCTACAGTTCTCTATGGATGCGAAATGTGACCGCTTACATTAAGGGATGAGCAACGTCTTAAGGTTTTTGAAAATAAAGTATTGCGTAGAATATTCGGACAAAAAAAGGATGAGTTCACCGTATAGTTCAGACGGTTGCACAACGCCAAATTGCGTGAGCTGTATCCGGTTAATATAACTGAGTTGATTACATACCAGCGAATCAAAGGGACTAGTAAAATAGTTTGGCTTAGTAACGAAAGAATTCCTAAAAGGCTAATATTTTCTGTACCGAATGGTAAAAGACCGAGGGGCAGACCGAAGCTAAGGTGGGAAGATTGCCTTAAAGCCGATCTGAAGGAACTGGGTTTGGAAGGCGAACGGTGGAGGGAGGTGTGTAATAAGTGATTGGTGGTGTCGGCATCGAGCCTTCGGGTTCGCTAAGCATTTTATTATTATTATATTAATATTTTGTAATACAAAACCTTTCGAATTAAATTTGTTACATATCATATTTATCAGTAACCCCTGGTTTTTCGGAATATTTTTTTACGTTAACAAAACACCAGTTGGGAGAATATTCATGAGATAAAATGAATACAAGCGGCATTGGATAATGGAAAACCCTTTCAAATCGCTGCCCAAAGCGAAAACATAATTCTAATTCTATCTAGTCCAAAACAACACAACTATTAATCATTGGTGGTTCAAGCGAATGCCCACATGCAGCGCCCCTATAATGGATTTAACGCTTGTTCAATCTATGATCATCGGCTTATTGAGATTGCGGTTAACCTAAAATGCCTTTCGGTAGAGATCACGTATGGGAAAAATCACTATTTTATTTTAAATTAATATAATAAAAGTTCAATATAAAGGTAGTTTAAAGGTTTTCCAAATTACATACAGTACATTTCTTAGAGAAAGACACACATTATGAGTATCAAAGGAAAACTGACAAAGACAACTTCTGAACTATGGTAGTAGTCAACTTCATCTAACTCATCACCCGTAGATCTTACATTAAAAACCTAGTTTGAAGTTTTTGGTAGATTATCATCAACTTTGTATGTGACAGTGTTTTAGAAAAATGCATAGTATCGTGCAAAAATATCTTATTGAATCGCAAAGAAATTTACTATTTGAATTTTTTTTTCACGTACTACTAACATTTAATTAAACATTTTTTATGATTTTGAGTCCGTTAGTTTTCTAGGTACATCGTCAGTCACAGGCGGATTTACGGGGGGGAGGGCTTTCGGGCTGAAGCCCCCTCCCCCCAAAATAGTAAAATGTAACCATGTTTTATGGTAAAAAAAATTAAAAAATGATGTCTTTAAGTATTATTGCTCGTTTAATTACATTTAATGGGACTTCAAGAATCACTTAAACACCATTTCATATAGGTAGTTAGTATCTTTCTGTTTTTCCAATCTAATTATCGTCATATATATGAAAAAAAAAAGCTTACGGGCTGAAGCCTCCCCCCCCCAAAATTAAATGTGTCGGCAGTCAAGGTGAATTCTATTTTAGGGACACATTCTTTACATCATATCAATGTTTCAGCCGTCGGTTTTTTTTTAAACGTGACATTAAATTTCGCCGATTACTTTAAATTTTCGAATAGAAATTAACGGTTTTCAATAATTTCTAATGTTTATTAACTAAAATTCCATTCGTTAAATGGAGAATAGCTCCAAGTCTATTGTGTTTGCAATAATACAAACAGAAAAAATATAAACATGCGTACTCGTTATTGACTTTATAGTATTTGCAACATACAATACAATTGCGATGTACTCTGGAAAGTTAAAGATTTTTTTAAACAAATCTAACACATATTGGTTATTGGCTTTTGATTGGTTATTGTCAATAGGGGGGGATCCAGCAACTTATATTGGAGGGATTTTTTTTTTCCTTTTGGAAGTGAAAACTTGTTTAGGAAGTTCAAAAAACTTTTTTGTTGAAAGTGAATTAGATTTATCCGTCAGAATTCTGAAGTGTTAACGCTGGCATAAAATCAGCTAGAATAGACTAATTAATAGTGGGGGGAGTGGCCAAATGGTCTAACGCGTGTCCACAGCAACGCCGTTGCCCGACAACCTGATATACGACTCAACGATACAAAAATAGTCACGTATAGCCTTAACGGCGAGGAAGGAGAAGGACATTAAAAATAAATAAAATAAATTTTAAAAAAAAATATTAAAAAAATACAATATCTCAGAAACTCAGTTCGTACGGGAGGAAATTGTTAAGAATTTCATCCTCTCTTTAATAGGCTATAATTCAAAATTTTATCATGACGCGACGCCGTGTTAGGGAGGCGAAAAGGAAAAAATATTGGTATCGAAAACCAAATGATAACGAGTTTAGTTGAACTTATGAATTAAAATTGTACCCTCTGAACTCTATTATAAGTGTCCTTAACTGTGACAAATTTTAATATTTCTCAATAAAATATTTTAAAAAAACGGATATATTGTAATTGTATATTGTATATATTGTATTGTATATTGTACGGATATATTGTAATAATATATTGTATATTGTAAGCGAGGAAATTGTTAAGAATTTCATCCTCTCTGTAATACAGTAATACTGTATACTGTAAGCGAGGGAAACGTTCTTCCTCTTTTTAATGAACTATTATTAGTGTTGCCCAAATGCGAGACCGAGACCCGTCTTGGTCTTGCGCACTCAGTCTTGGTCTTGCAGTTTCGTATTAGCTTATTACTATTGAGATATTACTGTAATTTTTTAGAATGGAGAAACCTGTCTAAGCCCGAATGAATAATTAGAAGAGTTATTTAAAAAGTATATTGGTTATACCAATTCTTTACATATAGTAACTAAAATTGTTAAGTATTCGTAACTATTCTGCCTTAATTTTTAATCAAAAATAGATTTTTTTTTTGCACCAATCCGATTTTGGGCAACTCTAGCTACTATTCATAATTTATATTTTATAATATTAATCTCGCCTTGGTGATGTTTTCATTTCTACCATGTTGTCTAAAGCGCACACATTAGTTGTTGTTTTTATTAATATTTATTGTTCTGAAAGGAAAAGAAAAAAGAAAATCTATCTATATGAAATGATGTTTAAGTGGTCATTGAAAACCAAAAAAATTTAGATAAATTTCTTATATTTTTTAGGACACAATTTGTATAATTGTAACTGAAATTGTAGCTGTATATGCATTTCAATTCAAAAAGGATCTATTGTGATTGCTCAAATATACCTATAGCTCAAATCACACA